TGGGGGGAGGGGCTGCAGGGTGGGGGAGGGGCGCTGGGATTGGGGGCGTGGCCAGAATTTGGGGGAGGGGCTCTGGGATTGGCTGGAATGTGGGGGAGGGGCGCACGCCGCCCCCACCAATCAGAACGCGGCATCCCATCCCCCCCCCCATCGAGGAGTGACGTCACACCCACGCGATGACGTCATCACGGCGGGGGGGGAAAAACCCCCCCGGGTTTTATTGCCGAAATTTGGGGGGGGGGGGAGGGGAAAAGGGGGAACCCCCCCGTGACGTCATCGGGGGCACCCCAATGTCCCAATTTGGGATCCCCAAAATCCCAAAAATCCCCCAAATTTGGGGTCCCCAATGTCCGGGTTGGGGGGGGTCCCCAAATTTAATTTTGGGGTCCCCGATGTCCCGGGGGGGGTCCCCAAAATCCTGGGGGGGGGGATCCCCAAAATTCTATTTTTGGGTCCTTGAGGGTGAGGAGTGTCCTGGGGAGGGTTCCCCAAATCCAATTTTGGGGTCCCCAAATCCCATTTTAACGTCCCCAAATCCAATTTTGGGGTCCCCAAAATTTTGGGGTGTCCCCAATGTCCTGCGGGGGGTCCCCATATCCCATTTTAGGGTCTCCCCGTCCCATTTTGGGGTCCCCAAAGTCCAGGGGTGTCCCCAAATCTCAATTTTGGGGTCCCCCCCCTCCTCATTCTGGGGACGCCGAGGTGGGGGCGGGTCCTGATGTCCCCAAATGTTCTGAAAATGTCCCCAAAATGTCCCCAAGGCCACAGTGGGGTCCAAAGGTGGGTCCTGATGTCCCCAAATGTTCTGAAAATGTCCCAAAAATGTCCCAAAATGTCCCCAAGGCCACCGTGGGGTCCAAGGGCGGGACCCGAAGTCCCCAAAAGTCCCCAAAATGTCCCCGAAATGTCCCCAAAGTTGCAGTGGGGTTCAAAGGTGGGTCCTGATGTCCCCAAAATGTCCCAAAATGCCCTGAAATGTCCCCAAGGCCACTGTGGGGTCCAAAGGTGGGTTCTGATGTCCCCAGATGTTCTGAAAATGTCCCAAAATGTCCCCAAAGTTGCAGTGGGGTCCAAAGGTGGGTCCCGATGTCCCCCAAAATGTCCCCAAGGCCACAGTGGGGTCCAAGGGCGGGACCCAAAGTCCCCAAAATGTCCCCAAAATGTCCCCAAAATGTCCCCAGTGTTGCAGTGGGGTTCAAAGGTGGGTCCTGATGTCCCCAAAATGTCCCAAAATGCCCTGAAATGTCCCCAAGGCCACCGTGGGGTCCAAAGGTGGGTCCTGATGTCCCCAGATGTTCTGAAAATGTCCCAAAAATGTCCCCAAGGCCACCGTGGGGTCCAAAGGTGGGTCCTGATGTCCCCAGATGTTCT